AAGTTAAATTTGGCATACAAATTCCATGAATAAACCGTATAAGTGACTTTTTTCAGTTCTGTTTCTAAAATTGACACACTAACAACACGAAAGAAGTTATAAAATGCTTTCAAAAATGCTGGAAGAAAAATCAATAAAGATGCAGTTGAAATCAAAATGAAAAATCAATTCATACAGAAAAAAAAAATCCTTTAGTATTTTTTTCAGATACTTTGGAAAAAATAAATTTACATATATCAGATAATGTTAATCATTTTGAATATTTGTCAGAAACTAAACTATATGAAATAAAACTTTAAAGAACATACTCTTATATCAAAAAAAAAAACAAATATATAAGTAACGCGAACAACAGTATTGGCGGAAAATATCAGACTAAAATATTTTTTATTTTATTTACGATACCAAACATTCAATTCATATACAAATAGTGATTTAAATAGTTAATGAATTTCTTTATTAAAATTTCACAGATGTACTATAAGAAAATTTTTAAAGATCTAGAAGACTTTAAGAAAATTAGTTGTTTGTAGTACCATATGAAAGAGTGTAGAATTCCGAACAAAATAAAGTGTCGTTACGTTTTTTACGATCCTTTCTTCAAAAGTTATAAGTAACACAAAAAAAAAACAGAACAATGCAATTTTTCGATAGATTGCTGTTTTGTGTGCTGCTCATATCTTTTTAAAGAATGACCGTAGAAAATGTGGCGACACATCATTTTGTTCAAAATTTTGTGCTCTTTAAGATGGCACGATTAACAATAAATTTTCATATAGTCTTGCGTTAGCTTCTAAAAATCTTTTCAAACTTTAAAAAGATATAGTCATTCATATTAAGCATGTTTTTCTCTGTATACCTTTATGTCAAACAACATTACGACAACGATTTTTCTGTGTCAGTTGGCATTACAAAGCATTATTAGTATCATTGTTGAAAACAATGACACAGAAAAAAAAAAGATATCGCTTTACTACTATTATTAGACTTTCTTCAGATAAATCATGTAGTTATGAAAAGCTAAAGTAAATATTCATATTCGAATACTTTATGTGTGAATCTAGATTAGAAACTACAGTAAAAAATAACACCGTTTATCGATAGAACGTTAAAAGTGACAAATATTGACTCAGGTGTAGAACACTTTGGGGAAGGGAGGAGAGAAATCTGACGTAAGAATCGATTGAAATGTGAAATTTAGAAAGTAGAAGCAAAAAGAAATTAAGTAACATGTTTTTTGTTCTTCGTTGATTTTTTTTTTGTAAGGCATCATGTTTCTGTTTTTTTTTCAATAACTGTGTCTTTTTCACTCTCAAAAATCTATGAAATTAATCAGTCTCTGATGTTTCATTTTATTTGCTTTTAATTTTCATCTCAATGCGAGAATCATTCATACATATGCAAATACACTTTGAATAATCAAATTGATATTTCTTCGAACACTGACTTCGATTTATTGCATCATTTTGAGCGATTATGACGTAGATAAACAGGAAGAAAAATCGTGGGAGTTTGTTGACCTAAATTTTTCAGTGACAACATCGGCATATATAAGAGTATTACACAATAGTAAGTTTATTATAGAAAAGGAACGATAGTTATACTACATTCTAAATATTGGTTAAGTATTATTGCAAATAGACTACTCCAGCAAATCGACATCGTTATTGAATAAAACATGGCTATCGTTAAATTTCATATGATTATTATTTTTGTTTGTGTGATATTCTTATTCGGAATGGTTTTATCAAATCCTGTAATGCAACGAATTATGATAAACAATCATGAATGGGAAGTACCTAATGAACCCGGTTGGGAAGAAGTTATAAGAGACGCAGAAGAAGTACAACAAAAATATTTTAGTTCATGTATAACAGTTGCCGAATGTCGTCAAGTTGTAGATCAAATTCGAGCGGTTTTTGCTCGTTATCCAGTATCTCAGAAATATCTCGAGTCTAATTCAAATGATGCAAATGATATATTTTCATCAATATTCAAATGGGGTTAAGTCTATATAGGCAAATTTTTTTGTGAAGATATATGTATTTAAAATAATGGAAGGTTAACTAGGTTACAAATGGTGACGATGAGTTTTCCGATGATTTTTGAAAACAGAATGGATTATATGTAGATTTATGAGAAACGATTTACAACAAAATCTTACATATATTCTCTTCTGTTATAAATATTTTATGAGTCAATTTTTTCGTTTTGTTTATTGTTAATGTTGTACTGAATTAAGATTTCAATTGATCTTTCTTCTTTACTGTTGTTAATGCTTTTTGTTTGTTATGCTTTGTTTGTTATATATTTACTTGGTATCATGTGATACAACACTAGTATTTTATCAATCAGAAGAGTATAGATATCATTTGATGATTAAATTATTTGTAAAAGTTGATGAATTAATTTTGAGTTTTGATTAAATGCAAGTGGATAGGGTCCCAATGAAGTATTCAAAAATAAATAAAAGAATAAGTGCCCATGCCGCACCCTTATTCGCAGTATCGGCGGTAGCGTCTTCCAGCACTACCTATAATAAGACATTTATCAGGTCGTTTGGAAAGTTCGTGCAACTGATTAAATACTACACGTTCTTGAATCATTTCACCTACATCATTGTATAGAACGTACATTTTACTAAGATTCACTTCATTCTCTCCAGATGAAGAAAAGATTTTCACTATCATGTTTGAACATGATTCAGACACATTGAAAATCGAGCACTTATAAAGTTTTGTATTCAAAAACGGTTAAATAATAGCGAGATCGGCGAGAAGCTGGCAAATAACCATGGCGAATTTCTTGCATTGTTTCGCGCATCTCAGACTGATTAGTGATTTCGGTACAATTCAGCTCTTTTCAAATACTTATAAATATTAATTTCAATCAATTTTATTGATTAATTAAATATTTATTATCGTTATAATCATGAAGTAATTATTCGAATATGTTGTCGATCAACTAACAAATAAAATTTTTTTGTAGTTTTAATCACATTTTATCAACAACTTGGTTTTACCATGTGTTGTTGAAAAGAATGTCTTCGTCGAATATTTCTTAATACTAATTACAATATTTTATGATAAACTTTGATTTTGAATCTGTTTATCTTGAGAATTGAATATCAACAATTGTATGTGATCTTAACATGGCAATACTTGTACGATTAAATTGATTATATTTATTGATTTAGAAAAATATTATTCCATATTGAATATCATTATTTAAATTTCGTCATAATAATAGTCTTCATTTATTTGTTTCTAGCAGACCGGTGTGGGTGTGGGTGTAGTCGTAGTTCTTCTATGCACCCACGCCCCTGTTTTGATTTATTAGATATTGAATTAACTTTTATGCACTATTGCTTTCATATACAATAATTACATATTAAGTAGAACTTAAAGATGAGTCATACAAGTAGGTATTTAGATATTTGGAGTAAATCTTATTGTTTCTTAAAATGATTCTAATGAATTACATTGTGCCATTACCACATAATGTTACTGCATTAAATTATCTTAAACAACAATTCGATTTGAAAGCCATAAGATCTATAATTATGATCTTAATGTTTATAGTGTTATTACATATGATATTATAAAGAATATACAGTTTTCTTTTTCTTTTACTTTTGTTGTCCTGTGCTGTAACAACTGTTTAAACATCCTGGTATTCGGTTGAAAATGATCGTGTAAGATCGAAAATTCCCTCGATATTATGAGTACAATAGAAAGTTTACATTAAAAACTTCTACATTTGTTTTGATTTACTAGATAATGAAAACTTTGTACAATGAGAATAAATAACATTAAAATTATTAATCTGAATCGTCAATAAGATATGTTGTTTATTTGTTTTCCTCTATTAGGAAGAAGAATATAGGAATAGTAATCTAGTACCTAAATTTAGTTTTTTCTACTAATTGAAAAGTCCTAATGACCAATAGGACTTCTCAAGGTAGTTTTCCGGTAAGATAGACATAGTCTATACTGAGTAGAATGTTCTTTTTTTTATAAATATATACTCATTATAATGTTTACAATAAGATAAAATAGTAATTTGTGAAGATAGTTATCTGGTTTTTGTTTTAATCACAACTTGTCAAGTGGCTTCGTAACCTGACCCAAGAAGATTCCTTGTGCCTGTGATGGGGAAGACAGTGTAGTGCTCTGGAAGGTCGTTATGTTCGTAGATTCCTGCCGTCGTTATTGTGCGTCATACTTACCTTCATTACTTTACTAGTCTGGCGTGATTCGCTTTGTGTGTACCTATTTCAGAGTTACAAGGGTCTCTTTGATCGACACGCGCTTACGTGAAAATGAACCGAGAAGAGCCGGAAAAGGAAAATGCGAAGGAATCAAAATCAATTTATTCAGTAAGCAAGAAAAACATGTTTACATCTTCTTTTTCACGTAATCAATATTATCTCTTATTGTTTCAATATAAGGGTGCGTCGGTGGAAGTGATTTTTTGAAGATAGCTAGTGACTCTTCTAGAAATGAAAGTGCTTTCAAGTAATCAGCCATCCTGTCATACACGAAACCAATATTGCTGTAAGAAGTAGCCAAATGAGGATGACTTGAAGGAAGAGTTTTTTTGTGAATTTTCAGTGCTTTTTGATAATATAAAAGGGCATTCGAATAGTCACCAATGTTGTGATATGCCTGGCCGATATTGCCGTACGATATAGCCACATCAGGATGATTTGGAGGAAGAGTTTTTTGTTTGATTCCCAGTGCTTTTTGATGATATGGAAGTGCATTCAAATAGTCACCCATGTCGGCATACACCGAACCAATGTTGTTGTAAGATGCAGCCAAATCAGGATGATTTGAAGGAAGACTTTTTTGGCGAATTTCCAGTGCTTTTTGTTGAGATAAAAGTGCATTCGAATAGTCACCCATGGCGTTATACACCGAACCAATATTGCTGTAAGATCGAGCCAAGTCAGGATGATTTGAAGGAACAGCTTTATGGCGAATTTTCAGTGCTTTTTGATAATATGAAAGGGCATTCGAATAGTTACCCATGTCGTCATACACCGAACCAATGTTGTTGTAAGATGCAGCCAAATCAGGATGATTTGAAGGAAGACTTCTTTGGCAAATTTCCAGTGCTTTTTGTTGAGATAAAAGTGCATTCGAATAGTCACCCATGGCGTTATACACCGAACCAATATTGTTGTAAGATTGAGCCAAGTCAGGATGATTTGAAGAAAGGATTTTTTGTTTGATTTCCAGTGCTTTTTGATGATATGTAAGTGCATTCGAATAGTCACCCATGCCGTCATACACCCAACCAATGCTGTTATAGCATTGAGCCAAATTAGGATGAGTCAAATATAGAGTTTTTTGGCAGATTTCTAGTGCTTTTTGATGATATGAAAGGGCATTTGAATAGTCACCTATGTTGGCATACACCGAACCGATGTTGTTATAAGAAGCAACCAAATTAGCATCCGTTGGTGAGAGAATCTTCTCTTTGATTTCAATAGATTTGTTATAATAGGCAACGGCATCTTTATATTGACATTGACCGTGCTTGAGAATGCCGAGCGTATGATACATTGATGCTTTTTCTGAATCAGTTGTTGCTTGATCGAACAAGATATCATATACATATTGGGCTGTATTGAACTGCCCCAGTTTAATTAGCAAGCCACCCAATCGATCCCATCCTTTCTTCTTGGGACAGGTCTCTTTGCGCATCTGTTCAGTAAGTGCATTGAGATCTGGATCGTTGTCACTAGTCAATGTCAAATCGACTTGCCAAAGACGATTATTTTTATCGATTTGTTTCATTGGTCCTATGCGAAAAATGGAATGCATGGAGAAGAGAATTTCTTGTTCTCCTTTGAAATGACTGACATCACGGACGTTAGCAAATGGTGTCGATGGAATCGATGGATCAATTTTCATAGCGAATAAAATGCCAACAAGATATGGAGGTTTCCATCGTTCGACGAGCAAATCTGAGGGATACTTGACGTTCCATACTAGTCGATAAAAAATTATTGAATGATAAAAGTCCATCTTGCGTCTTTACCAATCGATCAAAGTCAACATTCGGCAGTCCTTGACCACGAAAGACTGTAAACGAGTTCATATGCGCATGTCCAACGTATTGCTTCTCATGAAGCTCGGCAATGTGTTTGTGGAGATCACGAATAAAAAATCCCATATTGATGATGAGATCGACTTCCATCGTTCGTAATGATCGATTGAGCATTGAATACAAAAAACATGGATTGGTATACCACCAAATCGGGAGATGATTATGGTATTCGTGTTCGAGCTTGTTGATGTAACGAAGTTCCTTCGGATTACCGGCGAAAGCGTCGCGACAGTAGGTAAGAAATTCATCAATATGGTGTTGATTGAAATCGATGGTTAACAAAATTTCCTTCATTATTTGGGTGTACATGAATGAACAATCCAATTGGTTGAGATTTTGCTTGCTATTTTCACTACTGGTTGTGACAAAACTGATCGAAATCAAGTTTTGATCACATTCTTGTGCGGCTTGTTGAAGAGCTTGACAGATTGGAGTAATATCTGTAAAGATCCCTTTTATTTTTGGCCAGTGTTTGACCCAAGCTTCATGTCCAGTTTGGTTTTCACTGAAAATATACATGTTATTGATTTGTGGAATTTCATGAACAACCGGAAGAGTTGCTTGTGCGAAGGCATCAGAAATGACCATAAATATTTTCTCATCGTGAATATCGGTTATGAAATCGATGCATTCATTCACATCAGTGAATGGATATATTTTATTCACTACTTCCCTTAATTTGTTGATGGTATTCGTACAATCGCTGCTGCTCATATCATTGATATTGGCATCGAGCCATACCAGGACGAAGTTCTGAACCATACGAGTACGAGGAGACTGTCGTCGCTTCATGCTCATAGGTTTAGATGGCCTGGCAGCAGCAGTTGTTGTTATCGGCTTTTTCGTTTCCTCCATGGTGCGCGGGTTGTGTATAATGAATGAAAATAAGATGACTTGAATTTATATACTATGTTGGAAGCTTTTTCTAGATGTTTCTAATTGCTTTTGGTTGGTGCTGTCCTTCGAACTCTTTTCTCTTTTCATTTCATTCAAATGATTCACTCTTATATTATCGGCTGTCGGTCTCTGGTGCCACAAGAAAACGAACGAATAACAAAAACGCATTGCAACAAAATTTTATACACTGTGTCACGTTTCGCTTTCTTTTTATAATATCTGGAAGTTTTTCTCTCGCGCTTCTTATGCTACCGTAAATATGTTTTTACATAGAAACAGACTAATACACATTGTTGTATGAAAATGCATGATGAATTCTTATTTCAGTAGGCTATTTTTCGCTCAATTGAGAGTTCAGTGTCAAATGAAGCCGATGAAAGCATAGGTAGAAGATTGCTATTGATGTTCTGACTATATTTTTAATGAAAAACTAAATGAAACTATTATAATGAATTTTTTTTTTAATTAAACAATGTCTATGATATTTTTCCATAGTTACTGTATCATGTTGTTATAATTCATATCTAGTTTCAAAGTTAGTTCATTTTGTATATTCATTCTACAACCTGAACTAGCCTTCTCTTTTATGAGTTTATAAACTTTTCGAATTGAGGATGTGAAACTCGTTTTCATTATATCAAAAAATAGTTACCACTTCAAAAAATCATCATCTTGTAGATCGAATCGAAAGCTAATGAAACTTCATATTGAATTTTCGAAAAAAATTATCATATAAGAACATGAAATTTTATAACAATGTTTGAACAAAAATTTTATGACTTCGATTTTTAAATCATCGTGACATATAAAGACTTTTTCAAGTTATGTATCGAAAAAAGTAAAAACAAACTCATGAAAAGTCAACAAAAGAAAACCATTCATATATACTATTTATTCGTTGATACTCTTTAAAATATACATGGATGAACATTCATCTACCGAATAACAAATTCAGTAATTAAGAAATACAACACATAGCTCATGCACTAAAAAAAAATTAAAGTAATCTAAATTTTCTGTTCATTTATTATCTATGCATTCGTATTATTGAAAACAAAAATTTCCGATATTGTTTCTTTATTATAATAAAATTAGTTCACAAGGAGCTTAGTTTTTAGATAAAGCTTTACAAAATAATGTTGTAAGACAATATCTTTCTATTCATATATTCTATACTTATTTATATAAAAATAAAACACATGTTCACAATCAAATCGGAGATAAAGGAATGAAATATTTTACTTACATATTAAAGAATAATTCAGTGAGATTCATAGTCTATACATCAATTTCATATTAGTGATTATTGTGCCGATATTGATGACACGGTTCGATGATTCTCCTTTCTTCTCTGTCTGTTCTCTTTCCGTTGTTCTAATATATCACTCTCCTGTCTGTGCTGATATTGATGACACGGTTCGATGATTCTCCTTCCTTCTCTGTCTGTTCTCTTGCCGTTGTTCTAATATATCTCTCTCCTATATATATGCGTATTATGTATGAAGTTGTTACACTCTGGATATGTGAAATAGCTGAATAAACATCATTGTCGAGAATGGCGAAATGCTATTCAATCCAGTTTGTTGTTACAATTATCATTCAACATAGACGCAAATAAAATTGGATCTTAGATTTAACAAATAAGTAAACTATTGAATACAACATTTAACTTATGTATTACAAAAGCATTAGATACAAAATCAAAGTTCTTTAGTAATCTATTTTACATACAAATATCATGTGATAGGAATCACTATTTGGTTTTTTTTATTCAAAGTGTATAGTGTTTTACTCTGTACGAAAATATTTTATATTTTTACAATAAAATTATACATATCAAATACGAAACGAAAGTAAAGTAGAATTGATCAAAAATAATATTGATACAATTTTATGAATGTCAACATTTTGTCAAATTATGTTTTTTGTTTAAAAATAAGTGTAGTTTCTCATTTTAACTGCCCAAAAAAGATTCTATTGAGTGAATATTATTTCGATGTAAGACCTTCCAGGTTAAGATGTGCAAAACTATTCTATTCTTTGCTACACATTTCTACTTTAACAATTTCTTAATAAATACAAACGATAATTATTTTATTGAAAAATAAAATTCATGATTACTTTCGTTGAAGTTCAAGTTTTTCGTTTAAAGCATTTATATTCTACTTAAAACTCAGGTAGTTGAACTTCAACATTTAATTCAAACAGTTCGTTAGAAGATGTAGTCAATCGAGTTGGTTGATTAGATGCTATTGTTGCAGTATATATTGATTTAGCAAGTACTGGTGATAATTTCTTAAAAAACAAAAAAGTCAATGTATTTCGATTTACAATGGTTGACTGATCTCTTGCTGTATGAGATTGAGTATTTCGAAATTGTACTATATTTATAATATTTGTTGAATGTGTAATAAAATTACGTATATTATTCCTCATTGTTTGCACATATGACGGTAATGGTGGAATTGAAATCGAAATGTAATCTAACAAAGAAAATATATACAAATATATGCATTTCGACTTACGAGAGAACCGTTCCAAGTGCCAAATTATTTTTCAATCGAGATGATATTTTATTTGATAAATACTAGTGAGCAACAGAGAAGTCAAGAATGGTTTGATTTTCCAAATTCTTTAAACACATTTACCATGTACACAATGACATTGTGTAAATACTTTTACGTTCAGCAATTATTGCTTTTTCACGATTAATTCAATACAAATGACTTGCAAATATAACAACAAATGGCACAATTAAAATTTGATTAAAAAAAAGTATAGCGACGAGTATCGATTTGATCCCGATTCGCGGTTATCTGAGTCATTTTTCAATGACCAGATAACCGAATAGTAGTGCTTCAGTCTCAATACATTATTATGAATCGAGATCGCGGCTCATCGAGTTCTACTCTTTATTTTCTACTATTTATGCTGTGTGTTGTTAGATATTGTGCAAGATTATTGCGTAATATCAAGATTCAATGTGAGTAAAAGAAAAGATGAAAACGAAAATTAGATATGTACAGCGTTTCTTTATCCTAGCCTGCAAGATATAGTAAAGCAATACCATAGCGAAGTCATTATACAAGTATGTTATTATTCAATTCTCATGAGCATTGTTAAGCAACATCTTTCATGTGAGTTCGAAGAAAATTAGTTATTACACTAAGCATAATAAAATTAAAGAAGAAACCGTACCGAGTAGTATCCTCACATATGAGATAGGGTATTCTTCAATAGATAGAGTCTGTCGACACCAGAAACTTTGTTCATGAAATAATAGCTCTCAACACCATTAGAACATTCTAAAAGTCTCAGTGAAAAAGAATGCCGTTTCTTGTTCACATATCAAATCCCCAAAAACAACACATAGTCTGCCTTTTTTTTAATGAGATTAAATAGCTCAAGAAGGAATCATTCTTTTTGGTTGAAATTTTAATGATCCTAAAAGCGTTCCGGAAGAGAGCGATGACCAAATTTCAGCCATGACACTATGATAAAATGTTATTCATTAGAAGTATCAAAAAAATTATACGTTAATTCTTTGTAATAAAAAATTGTCTTTTCATCAACAGATGACTACGAATCCAGTGTTCTCACGAAAGATAGACTAAACTGAGCGCTGTTGTATCACTAGAAAAAATGAAAACATAATAATTCGATACTTGTCATTTTTTATGAAAATCACTGCACAAAATGTTGGTCTCGAAATTTTTTCTTCTTTCCAATTGTATATAACTTATTTTTAGTCGTCAAATATAATGTCGCATTACGAAAAATTATATTTTGTACAACTTTCTACCATTTGTTCTTGAACTTTATTATCCATTTTTTTTGGAACTTTTCTATGTTGATTGTTAATAGAATTCACTAGAGGGTTTTAATGGATGATTGTTCCTTGGTAAAAACTATGTTAGTCAATCTTTTAAATACCTCCTCAAATACTCAAACAGTTTTATGTTTATGAATACTATTGATGTATTCTGAAAAATTTTTCTCTATAGATTTACTCATAGGCAATGATATTAGTAGTTGTGTTCGTTGTTTTTTGTAGAATATTTAGCAAAACATTCATGGCTTTGTCTATAGAAAAATAGATTAAAGTTACACTATTTTTTTAGCGACTTATCTAGTTTATTCTGATGAATCATTTATAAGATTTTGTTGAATAATGAGATTAAATATTTGTTTAAAATGCATTAAAAGAGATTCATTTAAAGTTAATTTTCAAAATAAATGTAAAATATAATGAAAGAAAAACGAACTAAGAACTTTTGTTTTAAAGTCGATTACGATTTAAAATCATGAAAAACATCTTGAAAATACTATAAACAAATAATTTTATTTTTGTGTACTCAAAAAGTGAGTACACTCTAGAATCGGTCAGTATGTCCGGCCGTCCGGCCGTTAACACGATAACTTTTGAAAGGAGAGTCCGATCGCGATGAAATTTTCTACACAGTTTAGTCTTAACAATATCTCGGTCGAGTTCGAAGGTGAGAATGATCGGCCGAACCATTGCTGAGTTATTGCAAAAATAGTCATTTTTCCCTATGAGAAGATAGACCCTTCTCTATTTTCATAAAAAACTTTTCCTATCATAGTCAGATAAAACCCCAACTATTATATACCATTCGATAGAGAATTTCACGAGCTACAAAATGGTATACAAAACATAAAGAAACAAGAAAGCTAACTCGCCTATTGCAAAGATAATTAATCGGAATTAGGTCCTGTTTTTGTCCACGCTCTATATGATCCACAATTAGAGCTCTATCTTCCCATCACAGAGATGATAGTTCGAGGTTTTCTAGAATGGAGAACTCGAATCTATGTTCCATTCGCCTCGAAATCCCATTGGTTGAGCAGTGATCAATAGAAATCAAGTTATAGGAAAAACGAGTTTCTTAGGGTAAATCAAGGTGAAGAGTTCAAATCTGAGCTGTATTTGCCTCCAAATCGTATTGGCTGAGCAATAGCCAATAGAAATTAAGTGTTTACAGGAAGGGTTTGCCAGGACAATTTTGATGTCCACACATTCTAGGGTGACTCATCTGTCTCATTCACTTTTTCCTATACCAATATTGACCTATTCCGAGGAGGGGGAGGGGCGTGTTTAAGTACCTTTATGTCTTTAAGTCCTATATGAGGGGGGTATCGTTATGTCCTCAAGTCCTATATGAGGGGGGTATCGTTATGTCCTCAAGTCCTGTATTATAAGGGTACCCTTAGGTCTTCGAGTCCTATATTATAGGGGTGCCTTTAGGTCCTCAAGTCCTATACTGTGAAGGTGCCCTTAGGTCCTGAAGTCCTATATTAAGGAAGTATCATTACGTCCTCAAGTCTTATATTATAAGGGTACCCTTAGGTTCTGAAGTTCTATATTATAGAGGGGCCTTTAGGTCCTCAAGTCCTATATTAAGGAGGTATCGTTACGTCCTCAAGTCCTATATTATAAGGGTACCCTTAAGTCCTCAAGTCCTATATTATAGGGGTATCTCTAGGACCTCAAGTTCTATACTATAAGGGTACCCTGAGGTCCTCAAGTCCTATATTATACGGATACCCTTTGGTTCTCAAGTCCTATATTAGGGTACCTTTAGGTCCTTAAGTCCTATATTATATGGGTACCCTTATGTCCTCAAGTCCTATATTGTGAGGGTGCTCTTAGGTCCTCGAGTCCTATATTATGAGGACTCAATTATCTTCACTTTTTTTCCATAGAACCTGTATAATTATTTTTCGGAATTGACAGAATTTGTCTGGAACTACAAAATGAGGACAATCAAAAGCGTAAGTATGCTGCATTTCAGATTTCCTCAATGTTATTCTTTCCAAAACTATGACAAACTCATGTGTACTGACATTGTCGGTCAATTCTTTTAGACAGTTTGATCAAGATCAATCTGTCAACAATTATGTTTAATTTTTTATCAAGCTGTCCAAAAAAATTCATCCTTGAGCGCACTAAGGAACTGCCCCTTAGGCCCTGCGGATGCCCTCTTTTTGTCCCATAGGACGCGGCGAGGAGTTAGTTCCGAAGACTTTATTTACTTGCATAAACGAAAAAAATTTGTTTTTTTTTCTAGTTAAAGCTTATTTCATATTATAAACTCATGGTGATTAAGTCATAGTGCGGTACAAATTGTTGAGGATTATCTTGAAAAGGCAAGAGAGCATCATAATGAGTACCGTTGTAATAAACACAAAATCCTAATTTATTCATATCGGATTTGTATCCTATATATTTTAAATGACCACCTGCTGTCCGTTTATTAAATCGATCGATTAATTCCTGTAAACTAATATCCAATGACATATAATGTCTATTTGTTGGATCACTGTTAAACTGAATATATGAATAGATCGGATGGGATAGAGCTATCGAAAGCGCTTGAATTTGAACTTCTCCACCCCATATTGTATCCATAGCAGTTCTTTTCAACTGTTCTTCAAATGAATAGTGCAATACTTTACAAAGTGTTTGGAAATAATCGCTATTATTAATCATTGCATTGACTGCCAACAATCTCATCGAATGTGTTAGTTTTTCAGATCCAATATTTAAAATCGAAAGAGAACTATATAAACAGTTGTCATCTGCAGTTGTGCATGTTCTAGCATAAACGGAATCGAACGCTTGAACAGAATATTCTGTTTTCGACTTTAATCGGACGGATTGGTCTTTATTATGCACAGTTATAAATGGTGATTCTTCAATTAAGTCATTGATTATTTGTGCTTGACTTGAAATTTGATCAGTGTCTGTAGTATTATTAAAATCAAGTACAAGAAGAAAGTGGTCAAGAATCTTTCTTGAGGTTGAATCAATGATTTCATAATTTTCGAAAGAAGATTGTTCATCGATTTCCATCATATCAGATTGATCATTGGCGTGAAGGTCTTCAAGATTATAAGTCGTATCTATATCGATTTGTTCGTTTTCATCAACTATTTCATAACGATCGAAAGAGAATTCTTCGTCAACTACCATTATATCAGACTGATCATAAATTTTAAGATCTTTCAGATTAAAGGGTATATCTGTACGAATTTGTTTAATTTCATCAACATGAAATTCAGTCAAAACTTCATGTTTTCTTATCCATATTGGTTTATGGAAACTTGTGAGGCTTTCAAAATAATCAGATTTTAAGTCATTCATATTAGTGAAGCAATAGTCAATCTGTGTTTTAGCATTAGTTGAACTTTTATTTAACTTATTAATCAGAGTCAACCCGAATGACTCCATATATTCAATGAATTTGTGGTTGGTTTTTATCTTCAAATTTATATTGAAATCACCAACAACAATTATATCTTCACAGAATCTTTTTGAAATAGATATAACTTCATTAATATGTCGTTTTAAGACATCAAATGATGAATTTGGTGAATTGTAAACGGAAATAATACAAATATTATCAATTTTTATTGAGCAATATTCAATATGGTCTTTCCCTGAATATTCACATCTTTCGGTGATATTTTCATACTTCAAATCATTTTTTAAGTAAGTGATTTGACCGAATGGTTTTCGTGTATCATTACAATCACGTCTGTGAATTACTTTAAAACCTTCAATTTCCAAGCAATCAGTAGGTTTTGTCCATGTTTCAACAAGACTTATCATAGAAGCAGACAAAAATGTTTTGTCAGATCTGATATCCAAAATATGTTTATTCAATGATTGTACATTATGAAACATCACGAAAAATCTTTCTTCTTGAGATTCTTCAGGAAATTCAAGTGAAAATTTCAGCATTCGTTCGGATCTCATGCCTTTGAACATCATCGCCACTGCATCATTACGTTCAGGTGGTTTTGGTGGAACGAAGTCGCCAATTAAATATAAACCACTTGCTTTTGTTGCACGACTACAAGCGACGTATAATTCAGATCTTGTCATTCCTTTCTTTAGATTGACAACGACTTTTTCATAAGTGCCACCTTGACTTTTATATATAGTCATGGCTTCAGAAGGAACTAGAGAAAACTGTTTCCGTTCTACTTTGAAATTTGTTGACCGTGTGTTTATTTGCCGTGTTACTGGTTCAATTGGTGTGAGACTGGGATCAATATTTCTATTTCGCATTACATTATGAAAGTTGGCTCTAGCTTTTCTTCCAGTCTTCTCCTCACTAAATTTAATCCATAGTCGACATGGTACTGTCTCATTTGTCTTTTGAAGTTTTCCATAATCAATCATTATCAATTTTCCACAGGCGCCATTTACTAATCCATCTTCAGTGTCAATATTCACTGTCATCATATACTTAGCGCCCACTTGCAAATCAATTTTAAGTGGTAAACCGTATGTTTCAGTTGTTTTTAGATTCTTTACGTTGTTTAGAACTTTTTCTCTTATTGATGCAAGTCCATCACCAACACAAAAATCATAAGCATTAGCAATTGCACCTTCGGTATTAAGACTGGCCAATACTTTTGTATTATATGCATCAACTTCAGCATTACTTCTAAATATTCTTATTGCATCACCCATCATTTCCAAATTTTCGTTTGAAACGATTCGGGATTTTAATAAATTAATATCTTCAAGTGTCATCATTCCTTTTGCTATATTACTTAATGCAATAGCGAAAGTCTTATCATCTTTTTGTCTCATTATTTCTGTCAATTCGAACAATTCAAACAGTGACCATAGTGAACTATCTACTAAAGCATTGTATGAATTGTTAAATTGGAATATGTATTTATCACCAACTGGTATTAATTGATTGAAATCGCCCAAAACTATGACTGATACTCCGCCAAATGGTTTTTTGGACTTCATTATTTGCTGCAAACGTGCATCGACGTGTTGAAACATTGTAAAACCAACCATTGATATTTCGTCTATGATTAGTAATTGTAGATCAGAGATGTCATAATATCCATAAGCTGGGTAACGACAAGTAACACGTCGAGATATCCAACGAGATGGATATCCAGATTTTTAGAGGTACCCCGAAAGTTGAGCGATTTGAGTGGATTTAGTGGAACGAGATGGATATCCAAAATTTTTGGAGGTACCCTAAAAGTTGAGCAATTTGAGTGGATTTGGTGTAACGAGATGGATATCCCAATCTTTCAGTGGGTATCGCGAAAAGTTGAGCAATTTGAGCAGATTTGGTGTAACGGGATGGATATCCAAAATTTTTAGTGGGTACCCCTAAAAGTTGAGCAATTTGAGTTGATTTGGTGTAACGAGATGAATATCTCAATCTCTTAGTGGGTACCCCCAAAAGTTGAGCAATTTGAGTGGATTTGGTATAACGGG